TAGTGTTGTTCAGCTGACATTAAAGGGGCAGCAACAGCTGGTCTCCACAAATTACTATACGGATTATAGTGGTCGCTTGAAAAGTTGTAACTACTAACGGGAACATCCATATGTTGTTTTGATGGGATTACAGGTGCTTGGTAGCCAGCTACTACTGATCCTGTAGTTTGATGACTCAAAGAAACCTGATTAATTGCTGTTGATGCAGGAACAAACGGTGCTACACCAGAAGGAACTTTTGCAGATGTTGGTGGAGCAAAATAGTTTTCAGAAGTTACCGGGACTACTGAACCTGTGTTTGGATTGCCTAGCACCGGATGAGTGGACAAAAAAGTTTGCTGAGCCAAATTATTGGAAACAGGTTGCATGACCTGCTGTAACCCTACTGGATTGTTAACGGAAACCTGCGATCGAACCAAATTCGACAAATTATGTTGTTGTCCGTGAATGTGGTTACTGTAATACAATCCCGGATCACTAGAAGCTGCCTGGCCAGTATTCACTCCTGTAAAACTTGATGAGACCAAGTAATTTGTTGATGCAGGATAAGTTGCCTCAGGAGCTGTTGAACGAACGTGCTGCTCTTGATTGGGAACTACAACAGCATCAGGCTGATTGTGGTCGGCAGATTCGACCCAGTGACGCGTACGATCCTTTTAGTCTATTGTTAGTTGTGGAGATATTCGAGTAAAACCACTTTCCTCAGCATTCTCGCTGATTTCCGACAACTCATCTTCTAACTCAAGCCCTTTCAACTCAATTTCTGCCAGCTTTTTCCTGTGTTCTTCAGCCAATTCTTCCAACTCTAAACTGCTTTGTTGTTCTAAAACATATTGTTTCATCTTGTTTTGCTGCTCTTTCAGTCTTAATGATACCTTTGCCTGTTTCTCAAGCTCCTCTTGTTGCTTCTTTAAAATCATTAAGTTGCGCTTTTTCTCAGAAAGTGTTTTCGACGGAGCGGCGGTATAACGACTAGATTTCTGAGAACCCGATTGATGATGTCGGCTGCTTCGGTGTGACACCTTAGAGCGGGTACCTGTTTTATGCGACTGGGGTTTTTCACTTTTTTCAGAATGATGAGAATTTTTTGAGCTGCTATCTATGTTGTCCGGCTCTGTTACTGCCTCAAAACTTGTTTTATATGTGATAGCTTCCTGTAAAACTTTATCGTTGCTTTGAGTCAACTTATGAAGCCACATATCCTGTGCCGGTATCAATTCGTCGGGATTGGCACTTTTTGCAGCCATATTAATCAACTCAGTATTTATCTCGACCGCTTGTTCTATATAGTTCCTACATTTTTCAATATAGTTATCAATTTTTGAGCAACGACTCTGACTCTCTAGGTATTCTAAAATTATTTCATGGCATTTATAAAGTTCGTTTTCGAGATTGCTACGTTTGTCAAACAACTTCTTAATTTTCTTCTGAAATTTAACGTCCATGCTTAATAATTTCAGAAATAAACGGCTCTCAGAAAATACTTTATTTTCACTCAAATAAACCCACAAAACACTCTAATACATCAATAACTTACAAGGGGGAGTAATTTGAAGTTTTAATGCTTTAAGTCTGTTGTGAATCGCTCTACGATTTTTAGGTGACAAACGGTTCCGCTTCTTCTTAGCTTTCAGTGTACTTAAGTCGGCACTGTATCGTCTAAGTAACACCAGAGTCTTCAACTCAAGGGAAGGGGGCTGGTGCAGCTCTTTATACTTTTCGATAAGTGTTTGGTCTTTGGCCTTTCGCTTTGAGATAAAAACCTCAACTATGTTAAGAACGAGAATACCTGTCTTTTTTCAACTCCTTTTCTATATTGTTCGTACCGTTGCGGCGACAGTATACAATAGCGGTAACTTTCTCCTTGTATCTCAAAAGAAGGCTCTTAAGTTGATCAGTACTCAAACTACGGTTGTTGTTACTGCGGTGCTTATTAATGGAGTTATTTATGGCGTCGTGCCAAATAACTAGATCTTTCCGATTCGACAAAAAGTGGTGCAGATAGTATTGGATAGTTTTCTGCGAATCCCTGGCGTTAAAGTTAAAGCTTAAACCGGGCTTTGTGAAACAAGTCTCTTTAACGCGCTTTTGAGACGGTGCGGATAGTATACGGAGCGCGTGATCCAAGGAACTAGCTCCTAGAATGAATACCATACACTTAAGAGACCTATGCGACGGCTACGTTACGCTGAAGTACCAATGGGGTGGGGAAATTAAGTAGGTCGGTTGAACTCCAACAACACACACGGAGTAAACCTGAGGATGAAAGAATTCAACTTAACTCACTTAATATTACCGTACCTGACCACTTAACATTAGTGTCGCGCAACGAAGTCAATAATCTGACGGGCTGAAACGGCTTAGATTTACTTGAAGCGAACTGGTTTTTAGTTTCACCAATGGTGGGTGGGGGATCAGGCAAATTGGTTACGTTCCAACAACACACGCGGAAAAAACCTGAGGATGAAAAAACTCAACTTAATTTGCCTGATATTTTGCTACCAGACCACTTATCATAAGGTTGGTGTCATGTTACAGCACAGTTTCACAGAATTATGGGGACGTTTTGACCATTTTTTGGAAATTTTTTTACTTTTTTTTCCAAAATTTTTCGGAAAATTTTGGTCAGCAGGTTCGAGTCATAAACCAATCCAAAAAACTAGTCTAGTACCCCTTGTCTATGATTCGATTTCACGGATTAATATTCCGTTCACAAATATCCAAACATTTTTGGTATCGAGAAAAAATGCCAAGTCAGTTGACTAAGTATCGATTGTAAGTTATTTCAGTTCAACAGAACTGTCCAAAAATTTTGGTTATTAGCTTGCGGAAATTTTTTTTAGCATAAAGTACATCGTATATAATTTTATAGCACGAATGGAAAGGTTTTTGAAAAAGTGTTGGAACCTTCTTATAGTTTTGGAGATTGGCGTCACCGGGAAAAATCCAAAAACTTCGGGTGTCGAGAAAAACACAGCTGCACTTTGACCAAAAGTCAACAATCAGGACACCTGAACAGGCCTCTCTTCCGCCAGTCTGCTCTTTCGCCTGTCTGCTCTTTCGTCTGTCGGCTTACAGATCGACAGCTTCCCGTACCTCCTCAGAACGAATGGAAGACGAGAAAGCTTTGAATCCCAGTGCAGTTGTCAGCAAGCTATAACGTCTTTATAGCAATGTTTGCATTTTTTAATTTTTTCAGATACTTTCAATAGCAGAAGTTTCGAAATTGTCGCGTAAGCTTGAGGTGAATTTTCCGATAAGCACATCAATAAAAAAAAAGTTTCCCACTAAACACGGACTTCTCAATGTTTAAACCGACTGCTCGTTGAGTTGTACTCTCTTCACCGAGATCTTCTGTGTCAATGTCAGCAGTACTTCAATGTCAATTATCAATGTCAGCAGTACTTCAGGATCGTAATAACCTTCAGTGGTAAACACGTTAACCAATTCTGTCGAAATTGGTCGCTGTTCCCTAGTCACTTGTCGAAATTGGTCCCTGGTCCCTTGTCGACCCCTCTCGAAACTCTCTTGTCCGGGGAAACTCTAGAAAGGGAATTATCAACGGTGTCCCTTGTGCAAAGGGTCCCTTGTCTTGGAAAGAAAGTAGTCGTTAAATTATTAAACAATCAGGGCACTAACTGACCCTTGTGGGGCGCCAAAATGTGCGCCTAATCTCCGTAAATCAAAAATATGAAGTCGAATATTTGAATTTAACGAGAGAATTTATCGGCAAATTTCTCGTCCTTTCGGTCGGGTATAACTTCAATACTAACTTCAATAATAATCAATAACATCATATTTTCAATACTATTCGTCACCGCTTCAATGACAAATTAGCGCAAGCTAGCCACAAGAACCGGTCGGTAATGTCCTTGAGGCAAATTGCTCTTTTTTAGCGGTCAGCCTTAATCAAGGCTGAACCAAATTAGAATCAACAAAACAGTTAAAATAGGAAATAACCCCCTTTTTTAGTATATTAATACATGGGCAGGTGGGGGACTCGAACCTACGTCAACTGTTATGTCACACATATAATCGGCTTTAGCTAAGGCCACTCGGCCAACTGTGCTTATGGTTGTTACATTTTGGTTCAACTTTATATGCATTTGTACTCTCGCACATTTACATTTGCGCTGCAACAGCTGGTCAAACTAAATTGCGAGTTCTTGCTTTCATTAACCGTTTTGAATTGCGTTTCTTTCTAAAATTTTATTTTGTTATGAGTTCTCGTGGTACTGCATATTTAGGGGAAAGGGGAGGAGGTGAGCTTTGGGCGCTTCTTTCAGGGATTCGACCCGCCCATTACCCAAACGGCCCGTCTTTTGGTACTATTTTATGGCAGCCATTTATGTTATGCCAATCCTAAACTTCTACTTAAGGCTCCGTTGGCGAAAATATGCTCTGATTTTGAGACAAATGTGCATGCCGGTAAAACGTGATTTTTTTTGCTCAAAACGTGTCCGGCCTGTTTGTCCCAACTGTCACATGATGCGCAGAAAATTTGGCCTCGGACCTCGGAAAACGAATTGGGTCGAATTGAAAAAAGAATATCTAAAAAAATCGGAAACACTTTTGAAAATCCTTCCCTGATATGTTTCGGTAATTATCAATGTTTTACTTTGTTTCTTTTTTACTTTCATTGGAATATTTTTGCAAAAGAGGAGCTCGAACCGGATGAGGACCATCTTCTAACTTGCCTGTTCAAGCATATTCTGTTAAGGTTCCTTGTTCTTGTTATGATTGCTGATTGATTCAAATTGCGTATAATACAATAATACAATATCTGGATAAAATCTTGCAATTTAGGACAATTTTGTTTGAGGCTCGAATACTCCGAGAAGCTTTCGAGAAACTTGAAAAGTGAGAGCAGCTCAATATAGCTGTTTTCTAAAATTTTCTTCTCTGACATTGTAAATTTAAAACAAGCAGTTTCACTTAATTGAAGCAAAAAAAAACGGACGAAAATATGTGAGCAAATTTCATTTTAATTCGTCTGATTTTTGAAACGAAAATAGAAATGAATTGTTAATTAAGGCTTAAAATGTCCTCAATTATAATCAGTTTACTATCTTTGGTTTTACTGCCGTTTAACTTCACAATCCAAACAATAGCGTCGAAATCGTGAACGTAAACTTCAAGCTGCTTGTCCCAAGAAACAGTTTCACCGGCGAAATTTTGCTCCGTGAATATGTCGAAAATTTTGAATTGAATATCATCATTCTCTGGTTTGCTGACACCTAAATCTTTCAAGCTGAAGGTCATTATCGTGCTTTGATCGTCGGATCCTTCACGGAACACGCATATTGCATACTTTCCTAGAGACTCGTCGCCCAAACTTTTCAGCCAGATTTGCGTATGGCCTGACCTTGAAGTCTTGACTTGCTTCGCCATTAACCCTAGAGGGTCCTGATTTATTCGGATCAGGTATCGATTGAGTAATAGACTAAGAGATGCATCGTCTATAGAACGGAGGTCGGAAGATACGAGCAGAGGGGCACTCCACATACACCACATGGACATCTGGATCTTCTGTTGGCCAAACGAGGTTCCAGGGTCGCCAATTAGAAGTTCATCGGGGTCAATAAAATGACCAGGTCCACTGTATTTGGTAAATTGGTCCTAAACATTTCGTTAACTGTTTGAAATCATAATTAGTTGTTTGACAGCATAATCTCAAATCTATCTGAGATGTTTCAGCGGATCCTTTTTTCAAGAATGATTCGGAAAAATTTAGGCAAAAACTTAGCCAACAAACCAAGTAGTTTTTACAAACCAAACGCACCATAAACTCCTTTTTTGTGTCTGATTCGTTCAATAATTTAAAAAGATTTAAAAAGTTCAATCATTTATTTCGTCCAAATAGATTTTAAAAGTTGTTATCAAAAAACATTCTGTCTAAAAAAGTTTTTAGGAGTTCAAGCTCAAGCCATGTTTGTATGAATCCCCCTTCTCCAACACATAACTTCCGATAACTTCTCTCTAATTCCATTCCATAACCACCCCCATCATTTCCGTTACCTGGTGCTTGGCGTAGTAGTTGATGATTTTTATCACACTGTCCCAGCTGTCGGCAACGTCCACGTAGTTCCTGAAGATGTTACACGTTCTCCCCACTTCCGCGTAGTCGGCGTCGTAGTCTTTGTGGATCCAGGCACATATGTACAAAATATCTCGCCCAGAGTCAATCAGGGCCTTAAAAACATATAACAAATCCCATTGAGCCGCTATTTTCAGCAACCCCCCCCCCCCCACATTTCAAATTTTCCTTTTTTAAAGTTGTGTTGCCATTTATTATGGCTGAATGCGTGATGTTACGATTTAAGGTTTGAAGAACAAACGTGCTCACAATGAATGGTTTGTTCACCATGTAAAATTTTATTCCTTTAAATCAACGTAAAAATAGTATTTCAAAACTGAAACTCAAATGTGGGGGAGTAAAAAAGAGCCCATTAACCTGTACTTACTAATGCTACCTAATAACTAATACCCCCCAATTAATAGATCCAACCCAAGAAAATTTTGTAATCTAAATCCCAGTCTCCCAATTTCTTTTACACCATACCATCTCCCCCCCCCCCCCTCCCGCCCTCAATTCTGACTGCCAAATGTCTCAAAAGTTTCATACGGTTCTATTCTACGACATCAACTTCTGGACGACATTTATTACCCAACACAGTATACAATAAACAGAAGCAAAACTTGGTCATTCTGGCTTCCGACTAAAAAAAATTGAATTGCCGGCTAACCAAAGAAGACCAATTGTTCAAAAGGACCAATTTTTCGAAAAAAAAAAGTTCCACCCGATACTCCTGCACTCATCCTTAATTGGCTCAGTTCCAGCAAAAATAATTCTCTCATTCCATACAATAACGAGCTGGTATAACTTTTTTACTAGGAGTGGACTCCCGAATAAACAATTGATTGAACTTTTTTCAACTGACCAATTTCGGAACTCGCTTAATTTTGATTTCCCAGATCAAAATTCAAGAGCTCGCATATGATGAATTTTTGACAAAAAGTTTCAGAAATACTTTGATTCCTGAAATTAATTAAAATATAAGACCAAGTTTTTCAAAACGGGTCCAAATAATTCTGGATCTTTTCAACTATCACCCTTGATGCAAGGGGCATTCGTTACCAGGTGCTCAAAAGTTGAGTTAGTCATTTAGAGGGTTTTGGATATTATTTAGAGGACATCATTGAGCAGATTAGTCAGAGAGTTCTTTACATCTATCATGTATATCACAAACCTTTTTTTTCGAAAGTAAACCTAAACTGGTCAAAAAAGCAAGAAAAAATGTAGTTTTTAAAAAAACGGCAGAGATATTAATTTATCATTTCTCTCACCTTTGCCATTTTCTTGTAGCTTGGTCCCGAGTTTTTTGGATCAATGTGGCACCCGTCATATTTTAACATGTCTATTCCCCATGAGGCGAATGTCTGCGCATCTGTTTTCTCAAATCCATTGCTACCTGCGAACCCTGCACAAGTTTGGGAACCGACATCTGCGTAAATACCTAGAAAAAAAATAACTTTGAACAAGGAAAAGCACAAATAGACGAGAAAACAATCAAGCATAGTGACAGTAAAGTCAACAAGAGGTTAACTCTTCCTCCAATCAGGATAATAGTACAGAAGGTCTCAGTGATAAGCATTCCCCATAGTATAAGCCCATTACTTGATTCATGTTTCGGGACCTGTTGTTTAGCAGACCAACTTTTTGCCATAAAAAGTGAAAATTGAGTCTTTTAGCAGTTTAACATAAGAAAAAGGAGATACAATTGATCGAAGGAGGTAACAAAAGACTCCTAGGTTTGTACATCAATTTTCGTAATTAATTTGAAAACTTCGCAGTTTGATAAAACTATCAATCCAAAACAGAACACTCCAAAATGGTGACGAACACTGATTCAAGAGCACAACGGCACTTGTGCGGAGTGTAAGCGCAGCTGAGAGAACAGACTAAACATGCCAATGCTGCAATTGAAATCAGCGTTCTGAGTTGATTAAATAGAGTCGGCTAAATAATCGAAGTGCTAAAAAACTAGTCTGCTTTTAAAAATCTACCCCCATTTTCCAAAGTGCAATTAGACAGGGACGGATCTAGGAATAGGATTTTCTCGATGGAGAGGGGGTTTCAAAAAAAAATTTTCGAAATTTTATCGCTTATTTTGTATGTCGACCAAATTGATTTTGCATGGCCTCACAAATCAATAAAAAACCCTATATTGACCAAACTTTCCGCTCCGCAGATGAAATTTTGGAAAAAAAACGGGCCAAAAAAAGGCGTTTTGAGCAGTTTGGAAAGTTTTTACCAAAAAAAATCGCATTTTCATTTTTTCGGAGCGCGCTTCCCCCTCAAGACGCCCTAAACAAAATGTAGGATCCGTCAGTCAAAAATAGAGATCTGAAAATAGTACAAAAAAGTTTAACTCTTTTTCTGGTTAGAAAAATACTGTTTACTGTAAATTGCGCCTTTTTTGTTGAAAACTGTCATATTTTTGAAACTCTTACGTAATTGCTTTAATAAATATTGATTATTCCTCGTTCCTCTGCAATGTTGGCTGAATTATTTTGTAGCTGCTTTACTCCCACCCAAATATGGGATGTGTGTGCGTAAGGGAGATGGGGTAACTTTGGGGATTGGTAAGTGAAAGGGGTGTTAAAAACAGGGGAAAGATGTTAAATAAGTGAGGATTGTTCTGCCAATTTTTTTTATAAATGGTGTATAGGTATAGAGTTGGAGTAGACCGAAAACTGAGTAACGCAAAAATTGTTGCCAGTTTTGGTAATAAATTTTCAACCTGTTAAGCATCTTATGATTTATTATAATGAATTTTTAATGAAATATAATCGAATTAAAATTTTTGAGGAAAGTGTGAGGGGGTAGGGTAAAAGTGTGTGAATGTATGGGTTTATAGATGTATAAAAAAAAACAATTTGTGAAGATAATCATCAAAACAAGCCAAAAGTAAGTCTCAATTTACAAAATCCAACTTTCAATTTAGTAGTGGTTGGAATAGTAAAAGCTGGTCGGTTTAATTCTATCCAAAATCGGTTTAATTCTATCCGGTCGGTTTAATTCTATCCGATCGGTACAAATTTCAAACCTAATTTGAGTCCCTTTTTGTGCATGTAATCCGCCAAGCTTTTTATACCACTGGGAAATAACTTAGGATCCGCTTCCAAGAGGCCATCTTCACTTCTTCTCTTCATCAGCCAGCAGTCATCAATCGCAACATAAGTGTACCCTGCGTCTCTCAAACCCAAAGAGACCATTGCATCCGCGATTGATTTGAACAAATTCTCGTGCAGGCATTCGTCAGGGAAATTTGTACAGTCCGTCTGACATCTACAAAAACGCGCTGAAAACAACTAAAAAAGCTACGTGCATTTAAGTTAAGGTCCAAATGTTGCGTTGGCTTTAACTCATATCAAAAATTTTTTGGATTACCGGAGCTCAAAAACGAGCTCAAAATTGTTACAAAATGAAGCTAGGTTCTTGTTACGCCCCCTACAAGGGTTGAGAGGATTTACTTCAATAAGTAACTAATCACTTAACAGCAGCGGCAGATTTAGGGGAAGGGGGGTCCCCCTTTGTACTATTTTGAGATATCCAATTTTTTGTGACGGACCCTAAAAATTTTATAAAGGCGCTTAAGGCGCCAATATATAATAAATTTGAGGGGGGAGCGCGCGCTGAAAAAACGTAACTTTTTTGGCCCGTTTTTTTTTAAATTTTGCCTGCGGTGCAGACAATTAGCCAAAACAAGGTCTTTTTTTAGCGCTTGGAATCAATTTGCTCGACCTAAAAAAAAAGGTCGACAGAATTTACATTTTTTTTTGAAAATCCGCACCCCCTCGAGAAAATCCTAGATCCGCCCCTGCTTAACAGTAAACTGCTAGTTATTAAAGTAAAGCTTACTACGAGTAATTTGAACACCAGAAAAAATTGTATTTTTTGCACACAATTTTTTAGGCTACATAGTTCGTTTACATACGACAGTGTCCAATTATTCAAACGACAGCTATTAAGAAAACAACCGTTTTTGATGAGACTTTAAGTCGAAACTATACAGAATTTTACTACTGTGTTTCTGAGCAATATAAATTTCTTAAACTCGGAAAATTGCTTTAACAACACATTTTAATAAAACAAAATGTCAAGAACATTTTGATCTTAACAAAACATCTATTACGGTCAAATTGATTTTCAAAACGAACGATGCTTAAACAACGTCTCCTATCCAGGAGTGTAGTTCCGCTCCAATCTTCCAATACAACAACTTCGAACACAAAAAAAAAAATTTTTTTTGGTAATTGACTAAAATCATAAGTAAGATCGGTATTGTGAAATACCAGATTTCATATCACTTTTTTCAGCGATTGTTTTTCAAAATTTTGCAAGCAGATTTTCAGATTTTTGTTAATAAACTTCACGATGGCATAAAATTAAGGGGAAAGTTGCAAAATAAAAATTCCGTGCATGGAATTTTGATTTTTTTGCACGTTAAGAACGAAATCAAATGGGCGTTCTTAGCTGTTACATACCAAAAAATCTTTTGTCCTGACGCCGGTTGTAATTTTCTGGCCTAACTTTTGCGCTATTGAGTTGTATGGGAAAAATGATTACAATGGACTGTATCCGCAAAAATTTTAACCCATACAATCAGTTTTCGTGGCCATCTAACCATGAGAATGGATTTTTACGGGACTTTAATCAATCAAAACTCAAAAATCTATTATAATCCATTATAATCGATTAAAAAAGATTTTGTTGCTCAGAAAAATATTATCATTATTATCCATTTTAAAAGAAATATAAAAACATTTTGGGCAATTTTGTACAGATTGACAAAGAAAAGGCAATCTAACCGATGTTTATCCTTGAAACTCCACTGCGAGTTAAACGATACTTTTTGCCTTAAAAACGTGTTAATCAATTTTAATCGTGTTAATTCATGATTTATTATTATAAAGTAAGATTACCTGAATCTCTGCCAGTTCATGAAACCCATAGCCGGAGTCAGTCCCAGTCCATTATCCTCACTAAGGACTAGTTGAACAATCAGCTGAACAAAAAGTAGATAACCAAGATTCATGTCCGGCTAAAATAATAACCGCAATGATTTAAGTATGACAGTTTGGTTCTAAAAAATTAATTGGGTCCAATAAAAAAAAGTTACGTACATAAAAATTTCAGAAACAGCTTGTGCTTTTTAGTTTTTACGAGTTTGGGATTCGAGCCCATGGCCAACCAAATGGTCAATTTTTGATATTATTTTAAATGATCCATTTTTGGCCAACCGACCCTAAATTTTGTCAACAGGCGCCTATATATACAAATTTTTAGGAGGACCGAGCAGTTTTTGGTCAACTCTTCCAAAAAGTGCCTTAAAAAGATAGTTTTGACCGGTACTTTCAAACTTTTGATTTCGTTGCGGAAAATTTGGTCAAAATAAGGTATGTATAGGGATTTTGGAGAACTCGCAAAATCAATTTGGTCAACCTAGAAGAAGCCGAAAACGTTTTCGAATATCCTGGATCCACCTTTGCGTGTACCACCACAATAAAAAGTTTAAATTGACCAAATGTTCAAGGAATCTCTAGAAATAATAAAAACCTGAAATCGCGAAACTTTGGGGTAGGAACTTTACAACCAGTGGAAACAAGATCTCAAAATGAGTTTAAAATTATTCGAAACGCTTTGCAGTAACAAAAATCACCAAAGCAAAGGTTAGAAACACGTTGATGATGCCCGATTTGAAATTATTCCTTTTCTGGTCACAATTTTTATTGGTGTATAAAATTTTCAATAGAAGAAAAATTGGTCACAGACAACGATTCTTAACCGGCTACGATTTGCAACAAGCGACGATTCGTACGACAGTTCATAACAGGAGACGATTCGTAACAGGCGACATTTCGTAACAAGTGAAGCGAATAATGCTTGCTCCACTTCGCTCCGCTGCGCTCACATTCGACAGTAGACGAATTGTCGCCCATAACGAATTCTCATAAAAATTTAATTAGGGTGATGAGAACAGTCCAAACTTAGTAAATTTTAGTGTTTGCCAAGTTTATTATTCACCAATTGCAAAAGTAACAGAACTCATCATCAAAAGTAATTTGTTGCTATGAGTCCTAAAATTCAGAAAAAAATTACTCACGCGAAAATTAATCACTGAATCCAAATTTCTGCTAGAAAGAACAATTAAGAAACTTGAACAAAAAATATCATGATCGTATAACACTCAATTCAATAAATTCTGATTTTTTCCTTGTTAGTTTTTCTGTGAGTTTTCAGAGTCATTCATATCCGTCAAATAAAGCGTACTATTTGGATTTATCAGTATTTGTTTAAAAAATGTCCTGTTGCGAATATAAAAACTGAAGATGAAAAAACATATGCCTGCGCCAAACTGTTACAAAACTGCGCCAAATTTTTTTGAGCAAACAAAGAGAATCTTTTCCAGTTTTAAGCTTAATCTTAAAAAATTGTCTTCAGTTTAACAAAAAAACTTGTTTCTACAAACTAAATGTTCAATGAACTTTTCATAAGAAAGCGCTAAGCCGAAAAAAATTTAGGAGACTTTCAGCTATATTAAAGCGGATAGTTCATCTGAGCTTAAGATAGCTGGAGATCATCAATCAAAGTTATGTTGAAGCAGACTTGCAGACACAGTTTTTCCGCAATAGACCAAAAAGAAGTCATCAGCTACGCGCTTTTGACACAAATGATCGAACTTTTTCTTTGCTGCATGAAAACATAAAACAAATGTGGAAACCGGGCACCAGGCCGACTGTATTTCAAACCGACCGAATCGTAACTCAGGATTAGTACAAAACCGAGCGCAACAGACCGAATCGTTCTAATTTTTGTCTAAGCGCAGTTGCTTTTGCCTCTACGTCACAGTCTTCTATCAAATTTTGCTTTGATGTACGTATATTTGGTGGCATTATTTTTCAAGTTTATATGCGGACTAATAGTTCGAGTGGGGAAATTCTTGGGCACAAAGAGAAGAAGACTGCTCGTATCAGGGCGAAGCCCTGAATGTTCCGACTGTCTTTTGAGGTTTATGGAGCACTAATAACCTTAAAAAATGAAATAAATCAAAATTAAACTTTTTTTTCCAAAATTTGAGTTTTGTAATGAAAATCATCCCCCCACACGCCATTAAAAGTATAAAAGGATAGATTTTGCTGCTTGTAACAAATCAATTAAGGCAAATAAGCTTCTTTCAACCAATTTGGAACGATTTCTAAGAGGGATTAACTCTCCGCTTACGCGTTAATAGCGCTAAATTTATTGCGCGTTAGTTGTCCAAAATTGGCCAAAATGGCAATCTTTAAATCCCGGTAACTTTACAAAAAATGATCACAGGTAATATATCTTTTCAAACTTGAGCTGAAGACAACAATACCCATTGAATGATGTAAAAAATTCCGTCAAAAATGGCTAGTTAAAAAGTCGAAATTTGTCCGAAGAAAAAAAAACCACCCCGAGCACAAATATTCCGTTACTTTCGTATCGAAAGTCGGAACAAAAACAAGAGCGATTTTAAAAAGAAAAGAGGTCTAGTTAAATCTATTCATGCAGAGAGAGAGCATTTGCTTCTTTGTCATTAAGAGTTGCGCATACAGATGAAAACAAGCGGTACGCCATCCTCAAAGGCTCAATCAAGATCTGTGAACTTGTGTTCTGGGCCGACATGTGTTTGTGCTTCATTGACACTTTGAACTTTTTTGAAAATTGCCCCCACCTATCTTCTTCTTCCCCACCTACTCCAGATTGTGTTGATGTAAGCTTGTGAGATGGTATGCAGACATATGGAAAAGATCAAGAAGCGCCACCGGCTAAAAAAAACGAATGATTTCCCAGCAAAAATGGTTCATAGTGGAACTCAAGTTCTTAAGGTTCACTGCTCAAGCGTGATAAACGACGGACAAAAAACGGCTCCAATAAGCAGAATGCGGGTTGAGAAAACTTTTGATCATTTAATAATGTGAGGATTCAGTAGAAGACTTTTGTGCAGCTGTGTGTAAGTATTTCTGACGAGCAATCACGATATGGCCTGTAAAATGGGTTTCTTCCTCTCAAAATAAGGGGGAAAAAACTAATTTGACGTGATACAGCTCGTCTAAGCTGGATGCAACAAATATTTCACCGCCTAGATTAGCGACAAACAATGGTTGCTCTGAAAACGAACGAGGCCATTGGAACAGGTTTGTGCTGTGTATTTTTATATGACATAATCTCTTACTGCAGTATGGGAAAGGTGAGCGGTTTCATAAAAATTTGTTTACTGAGGTGGAGCTGAAAGTCCGCTTGCGTATTCAAACGGCATTCAATATGGTTTTCTTTCGAGTTGCTCGCACTGTCTCGAAATTGGAGTTGCGTTGTTTGTAATGAGTATCAGAACTTTTTCAAGAAAAAATCCAACTGCAGAGAAAGACTTCTTGAGTTTTGATTGATTTTGTCAAATGCGAAAACAAATCAGCATGGCCAAGTGACTAGCTAGCGTAAATTGGGAAATAAAGGTTGCCGTTCTTTTGAATTTTTCAACTTAGGTTACCGAATGTGGGTATCTCGGTTGCTTGCCACTGTATTTTTTCCTGAATCCAAAAACTGAAGAAACAAAGCTTACAAGATTTTTGTTTGCCACCTACACCTTATCTGACCAATAACTCGGGTTCAAAGAGTGATCACAAAAATAAGGTCACTTTTGAGGCCTTAGACCGGTGACGCTCTATATTGGTTGCTGAAAACGTCTCTTATCTGAACTACTTCATCGCCTTCTATGACTTAAATCTTATACTGTATTTGATTCTTTTCTTATGGTTTTTATTTTACTTGCAAATTCAGTTGAACAAGATATCAAATTATGGTTGGATCAGTTTCTCATGGCCGTGACTTTTTAAGAAAACGTAAGCCCAGAAATCTTCCTGGATGATCTAAAACCAGTCATAAAGAAACCGTTGCCAAGAGCAGAAAAACCCAGAGAACTCGAAAACGTGATGCGAGCAAGTGAGGGAATTCAGAAACAAGGTGGTAGAGGAAAAGGTTGTCCTGAATTATGGAGAAAAAAATGAAAGAGGGCGAACAATTGGCCACAATATTTATTAAAAGGAGGTACAGAAGCATTTAGAATAAAAGTTATTAGTAGCAGTGGAAATAGAGGGAATGAAAAAATCTTAATGTTGAGATATTGAAACAACATTTCAAAGAAATTGCACTGTTGGCCACAGAAGCTTCCGAAAGGGTGAAAAGAATGAGTTTGAAAACTAAATGCTATCCAACGGGAAGAAGTTAGAACAAACATTGGAATCATTTCACGCTCCATTGCCTGCTCAAGCAGCAAAGTCTGAACTGGGAACATAGAAAGCAAACCAGTGAGAGACCTATTCATTTCAAAGATGCGGATTGCATTGTTACGGGTTATCTTTATATACGAGATAATGTCGCCGGATGAAGTACTGAAAAGCAAAAACGAGTAGAGCAAAAACGAGTAGAGTTCGAGTAGAGCAAAAACAATCACAATTGCGTTTCAAAACACAAACACAGCAACTGCAGGAACAAGTCACCCTGCATGGACGCCAAACAAGACAAAGCAGAAGAAAAAATTGGCAGTTGGGAGTTGGATCTAGAACAACAGAAAAATATTAGAAGTCAGGTCAAGAGGAGGCAAACCGATGTTAGGGACAGCAGTAGATCCAGCTTGGAGAAAACAGTGCAATAGATGTAGAGGAGTTTTTTTCAGGCGGCGCCTGAAATATGCCCCGCTGTGGTAAAGACATGTAAAAACTCCAAAAAACAAAATCACTTTGCGAAATTGTGTCATCCAAGGCCAGTTAGCAAAGTCACAAAAGAGGCAGAAATTGCGGACCAGGAAGGTAACTTGATACAAGAACCTGATTCAAGCGACGGGTTCAAAACAAATACAAACCACATCAACAAAACAAATTGAACAAATTTTACACAGCATAACTAACAGTGTGGTCGAACTCCATAAAAAAACAGAATCATCAACCAATAGTAATAGAAAGTTACATACAACAAGCTCCACAATGAAAACAAAAGCAAATGGTTCAATGCGTTGCTTAGGAATGACGATCGGATTATCAACATGACTGCTGACACTAAAAGTGCAAATTGGTTTCTGAATTGGGCAACTAAGAGACAGAAACGGAAAAATCAAAAAGAACGAAACTCAACTCAGCTGAAAAGTGAAACTTACCAGAGCAGTTATTGATTATAACCAACAAACGTTTCTGATAGCTGCAGCCTTCAAATCTGACACTTCTTCAGCTGGCAGTGAAGTGTAAGAAGCCACCTTTCACTTAACAGACAGTAGCACTAGTTGAATTGTGGGTTTGGAATTGCATATCGAAGTGATGATCCAAACTACACAGAAGCCGGCTCCTAAACAGAGATCAAAGTTTGTCGTTCTTCTGTGTGAGCAGTCAAAAGGTTGGAAACTACATTTTTAATGAAAAATCGAGGAATGTTTGATACTCAAGGAGAGTCAAAAAATCATGTGATTAACACAAAATTAACGTATCATTTTGTCCAACCCAGAAAAAAGGAAGAAAATACTTACATGTTCAAGAAAAGATTGAACAACAGCAAAACCAGATCCACCAATAAAGTAATGAAATAGTTGAAAACGTTGAATAGTTTTCACGATCGGATTATAATAATGACTGTTGACCCTAGAATTCTTAAATTGTTTCTAGGTTGGGCAACTAATAAACAAAAACGGAAAAAGAAAACGGGCCAATATCAATCCAGCTGAACAGTTGAAGTAACCAGTGCTTTTTTTCGATTGTAACACTTTCCCGATTATGATACACGGAATCTCGAAAAGAGATATTCGTTCAGTGAGCTGGGAAGTGTTAGAAGCAACCTATCACTTAACACAAAAAATCACTAGATAAAATCTGAGTCGAAGTTTGCAAATCAAAATGATGATCAGAACTACAGGGAAATCGGCTTGGCTCCTAAACAGAGCTACTATGTTAGCGGCCGAAAAGGTTGGAAACAACATTTAATATAATAATTTAAGAATTGATTGATAGTGGAGGTAAGTGAAAAACATACTGTTTATACCAAATTAGAGTATCCATTATTTACCGCTCAAAAAAGGGAAAATATGTACACAAAATCGCGAAAAGGTTCAACATCAACAAAATGATACTCTCAAAAGGTCGCAAGGAACGTCTAGAAAAATATACAAGAAATTTCCATGCCCGATTGTGATCACAGTGAAAAAAATGATTAAAAAAACTGACACTAAGCAAAACCAAATTACACACAATTTGAAAATAAGTATCAAAAGCTCGAAGTAGACGAGTTATTGGACCGGTAA